TAAGTTTATTTATTTATTTTGAGAGAGACAGAGACAGTGCAAGTCGGGGAGGGGCAGAGAGAAAGGGAGAGAGAGAATCCCGAGCAGGCTCTGCGCTGTCAGCGCTGGGTTTGATCCCTCAAACAGTGAGGTCATGACCTCAGCCAAGATCAAGAGTCGAACACTTAACCAACTGTGCTACCTGGGCACCCCTGTGTTTATGCTTCTAAAAACACTTTCCTTGCAGAGGGATTAGGGTAGGTCTAGAGAGGTAAATATCAATGTTAATCTAGAATGCTTTTCAAAAGGGTCGGTTTCAAAGATACTCATTTCTAGAACACCTCCTTAAAATGTTATATGGATATAAATTGACATTAAAAATATGTAACTATCAGGTGCCTGGGTGGCTCAGTCAGTTTAAGGGTCTGACTTCGGCTCAGGTCATGATCTCACGGTCTGTGTGTTCGAGCCCCGCGTCAGGCTCTGTGCCGACAGCTCAGAGCCTGGAGCCTGCTTCAGATTCCGTGTCTCCCTCTCTCTGTCCCTTCCCCGTTCATGCTCTGTCTCTCTCTCTCTGTCTCTCAATAATAAATAAACGTTAAAAAAAATTTTTTTTAATATGTAACTATCTGTAATTACAGGCAATTATAGTTGAATTGGTTGTTTCTTTTACAGGACTTTAAAATGATAAATAAAGAATTGACACCAGCCAAATTTGTGGAGGTCATCGCAGAGGATAATCCTTTCATGCATGATGGCATTGACAGCAACTTTGAACTTGAGGTTTGTCAAGAGGTGTCACAAATAGAGCAGATACAATCCAAGAACCAAGATTAGACTGAAAGGCATTCTGACCCCAATACGTAAATATGTGTAGGGCTCTACACATGTGTATATATACATACATGTATGTATATTCATGTGTATCTATGTAGCTATATCTCCTTGATTATATTAGAAAACTAGAGTTAATATAAAAAAGAATATTTCAGATATCAGGAAGTGAAATCAAAAGAATATAAAACTATAGTTGATCCTTGAACAGCACCAGAGTTGGGGATGCTGACACCCCCACGCAGTCAGAAATTCAGGGATAACTTCAGACTCCCCCAGAACTTAACCTGCCTGCCGTGGACTGGAAGCCTTACCGATCACATACACAGGCGATTAATACATATTTTGTATTATACACTGTATTCTTACAATAAAGTAAGCCAGAGAAAAGAAAACGCTAAGAAAATCATCAAGGAAGAGAGAATACATTTTACACCGCTGTCCTGTATGTGTCGGAAAAGATGTATGTGTAAGCGGTCCCACGGGGTTCAAACCTGTGTCGTTCAAGGGTCAGCTGTACGATGCTATTTCTTGGAGAATTTAGCGATTTAATACACGTGTATGTTTCTCTGGCGGGCCATGTGTCTCCTCCAGTGAATTAGGTGTATCTTTGGTTTTCAGCGCTCCTTGCCGAGGGGCAAGTCTCCCTCCCCAGGCTCGGTCTTTGCTTCTGCAAACGGAAGTGGGGCAACTAGTTGATGTGTTTTCGGTATACGCCATACCTCCCGCCAGGAGTGTCTACTCCGTGCATTTGTGTCTCGTGGACACGTCCTAAAGGTGGGGTCCGTGTGGGTCCCTCCACTCGGCTGTAACCATTTGTGTTCAGGTCACCAGGGTCCCCATGATGGCCCGCCTAGGGGTCCTGCCCAGTACACCAGTCCATGGCCCTGCCATGGCCCCCGCAACGCCGTCTCTCCCACCTCCAACACGTTCTTCCCTCCATGTCCCACGTCTTCCCCTTCCCTCACCGCCGGCTCCTTTCCAGCTTCTTCGCAGGTTCCTCCTCTTCTGCCACACTCAAGACCGAGTGCCCTGGACTCAGTCCGGGGTCCTCTCATCTCATGATCTTAAGTGCCACCTTTCTGAAGACAAGGCCACCGTTGCTGTCTCCAACCCAAACCACGCTCCCTAGCCCCAGACGGCCTGGGTCGGAGTGGCCCCTCACGGTCCCCACAGCCCAGAATGTCCCACACCCCAAACGTGTGACCTCCGTCTTCCACCAGCGTACCTCAGCCTCCCGTGAGTGGGGCGCTGATGGCCTCAGCCCTTCCGTTGTCAGGGCATTGCCACAACGACTCCTTCCTCTCCTACCCCACATTCACATCTTTAGGAGATCCACCTGAAGAATGGATCCAGAATGTGGCACCTTCCGCGCTGGCTGAGCCACCGACGGTCCCCTGGAAAGCTGCAGTGGCTCCTAACTCATCTTTTGCGTTTGTCTCTTACCTTCCTACCTCCCGGGGCAGCAATCAGGTCACGTCCCTCCTCTGCTCACACCCCCAGGCTTCCCATCTGACGCGGAGTAAAGGCCCTCAAGACGCTGATGGCGCCAACTTTCCGAGTCCTTGTCTGACCGCTGAGTCCCAGCTGCCTCTGTGCTGTCCCCTGAACACACCTGTCAGGCTCCTACCTCAGAACGTTTGAACTTGCTAACCCCCACCCCACCGTTTCGGGGGGGCTTGAATCACAGGAAAGTACTGCCTGCAGCTCTGAAAGCGAGTCGTCAGAAATAAGGTAGAGCTGGTTCCATCTGGGGCTGTGGGAAAGGCCTCTCCCCTTGGCTCGTAGACGGCCATCTTCTCCCCGTGTCTCTTCACGTTGTCTTCCCGCTATGGGTCTGTCTCGGTGTCCAAATCTCCCTCTTATAAGGACAGTGGCCATGCTGGATTGGGTCCCCCACCCTCACGACCTCATTTTAACTTGATCTGTAAAGACATCATCACCAGGGATGCTTAGGTGGCTTAGTCGGTTGAGTGTCCAACTTCGGCTCAGGTTTTGATCTCATGGCTTGTGGGTTTGAGCCCCGCGTCAGGCTCTGTGCTGACGGCTCAGAGCCTGGAGCCTGCTTCGGATTCTGTGTCTCCCTCTCTCTCTGCCCCTCCCCTGCTTGCACTCTGTCTCTCTCAAAAATAAACATAAAATTTTTTTTGATAAAAATAAAAATTTTAAAAAGGCATTATTACCAAGTAAGGTCACATTCTGAGGTTTTGGGGGTTAGGACTCCCCACTCTTTTTTTGGGAGACACAGTTCAGCCCAAAAGAGTCTTCCTTCTTGCCTCCCCCGCCCCATTCCTTGAAATTCATGTCCTCTTATGTATAAAATACACTCACCACATCCCAGCATCTCCAGAGGGCTTTGTCATTCCAGCATCAATGCTGTGTGAACCTCTCACCTGCCTCTGTGTTACTTCTACCTTGTGATGCTTGTGAGTTGCCTTTGGATCTTATCCAACCTATGAGAATAACTTCATCTTGAACAAAACCTTTAGGCTGTTTTCTACAAACTGACAAGCAAACACATAAGCCGGGACCCACAGAGTTGGCTAGGATTGCAAATCTAAGGCAAGATTTTATCTGTCTGATGTTTTACGGAACAGCCAGGTGGCATGGTGTTGTCTTCAGAGTTTGCTCTCTGCTGGGAAAGATGTGGAGTAGCATGAGCAGAACAGCTAATAAGAACGCAGACCCCTTCTTGTAGGTCCTGCTTCCAAGGTGGATGTTTGGTGTCACCTCAAGACCCTGGTGACAGTAGGTGCCTGGGTAGGGCAAGGACCTGCTGGCCTGTGCTTTTGCTTAACAGTTACAGGGGCGCCTGGGTGGCCCAGTCAGTTAAGCGTCCGACTTTGGCTCAAGTCGTGAACTTGCAGTTCGTGAGTTCGAGCCCCGCGTCAGGCTCTGTGCTGACGGCTCGGAGCCCGGAGCCTGCTTTGGATTCTGTGTGTGTGTCTCTCTCTGCCCCTCCCCTACTTGTGACCACTCTCTGAAAAATAAGTAAACAACAGTAAAAAAAATAAAAAGATAACAGCTACAAATCCCAGCCACTAATGATTCAGCACTTGAGACAGGCCCTTCACGCCGATTATCTCCTCCCATCCTTGCGACAAAGCATATGGTATCGACCCCGTCTTCTAGGTGAAGAGACTGAAGCTGAGTGAGGTTCAGCAACTCAGCAAAATGGTAGAGCCTCTGCAAATAGGGGTTGACATGTTGGTAGGACACCTGGGGAATTTGGCAGGTGGTGAGCAGGGGCAAGGTAGGGAGGGTCACAGGAAGAGTCAAATTAGGGCACAAGAGACTAAAAGTGTCCATCCAGCCCTTGAACTAAGCAGATGTCTCATTTACCAGCTTGACCCATCCTCGGGCAAGTGTCAGCACACTCTTGGCCTAGGGGGCACTGCTGCTGAGCCTGGCGCCTCTGTTCAAATGAGCGGACCTGTTCCGGGTCAGACTCAAAGGGCCCTGGGTTCAGGACCAGCAGACATGACCGGTGGACGATCAGAGTCCAAGCAAGCCGTCCCCGCAGGCAGGTGCTGCCCAGGTGGGGGCAGGCCCGGGTGTCAGGTGCACACACAGCAGGGGTGGGTGTGGCTGCCAAGTGGGTTACACCTGCCCTTGTCACTTTGGTTCCCAGATGCCACTTCCCTCAATTTTTGTTCAACAAAAAGGAACCCTTTTGAAAATGACTGTCCTCGGGGCACCAGGGCGGCTTAGTCAGCTGAGCATCCAACTGTGGCTCAGGTGATGACCTCACAGTTGATGGGTTCAAGCCCCACGTCAGGCTCTATGCTGACAGCTCGGAGCCTGGAGCCTGCTTGGTATTCTGTGTCTCCCTCTCTCCTTGTCCCTCCCTCACTTATGCTCTGTCTCTGTCTCTCAAAAATGAATAAATGTTAAAAAATAAAGAAAACGTCCTCGATTAGTGAATATAAAATAAAATGTTTCTAATAGAAAAGTGACTTAACAAATCTACCAATAGAACACACAGTCTTTTACTTTTAAATTTAAATTTAATTTATTTTTGAATGAGACAGAGCACGAGCAGGGGAGGGACAGAGTGAGAGGGAGACACAGAATCCGAAGCAGGATCCAGGCTCTGAGCTGTCAGCACAGAGCCCGATGCGGGGCTCGAACTCACGAACCGTGGGATCATGACCTGAGCCAAAGTTGGGTGCTTAACTGACTGAGCCACCCAGGCGTCCCATGCATAGCCTTTTAAATATCATAGTTTTTATTTCCATTCGGTGTGCACCCATGACACTTGAGCACTGAATGAAGTGGCTTTCTCTGGAGACAGAAGCCAACAGCCAGATGGATCACTGGTCCACCTCAGGGTGGGTCAGAATGAGTGAGCCCCTTTGTATGTTCTTATATTTCAGCTGGTCTTCCTGGAGTTCTTTGAAGCTCTCTTAAGCTTTGCACTCATCTCTGTTACTGACCAAATGATTAAATCCTACTTGAATTTTCTGAATGATGACTTGCCTGGAAACAAACATGGAAGCCCCTGTCAGGTAATAATAGTTTAGAATCTACAGTGCGAGGAATGGTTTCATTCCGGAATGGCTAAAGTGCCATCAAAACTATCTTGGGCTTTTGTAACCCTTCAGGAAATAACGTTAAGACTGAAGAGAAGACTTAAGACCCCGTTTCACATTTTGAAAGAATGTGTATTGCCTTTTTCTTTAAGTTAGGGAAAAACGTGTTCCCTGGTCGTGATCCAGGGGCGTAGGCTCCTAGCCACATTAGTGGAGATGTCCTACAAGAAGGTCAGCGTGGCCAATAAAACACTGGGCAGACCAGGAGGCTTAGAACGCCTGAGGTATTTTGTTACGAAGTGTGTTGTTATGCAGTCTGGCATTTACAAGAGTGGAGAGCCTGTCCCAGAGTGAAGTCACTAAGAAATATCTCCTGAGTGTGCACGAGATACCAGGTGGGTCCCTGAGGATGGGGCCAGCTCACACGTCAGGCCTGCTGGACACGAGACTCAACCGCAAGACCTCAGCGGATCAGGGCAGCTCCAGCAACCTACCGAAGGGTCCAGCTGCTGGGGCAGATTGACACAGACTGGTTTTGGGTGGGGGTGTCAGGCCAAGTAGGCTTAGAGGGATTCTGATTTTCGAGCCGTTCATTTGGACCCACAGGGAGAATCTTGGGGGCCAGTGGAACCTCACAGCCGGGTAACTCTTCAGAGCCACACGTACAAGATCATCGTTTGTCATGTAAAGGGTGACTTCTCAGAAATCCCCTGATGTATCTCGGACTCCTCGTGTGCTAAGAGCTTGCTTCATGTTCCACTCCACCTCACAGTCCATCCCACCAAGTAGATATTCCTCCTCCGGCTTGAGGATATGACTGATGGCATCTCCAGGTCATCTGGGAGCCTTGTCATGGGCCACAGTCTGAGTCTGGGGCTCTGCTCTGAGGGAAACAAACATCCACCTTAGTTTCGTCCATGATTTCATGGATGGCATCACTCGCACTCCAGTAAACGAGTGCGAACACTGGTCTAGGGATTGTCCTCAGAAACTATCTGATCACGTTCACTTCTGGTCTTCAGTAAGTCATTCCAAATGTCCAACAAGCTAAATCCTATTATGTCCGCACGATGGAGTATGACTCGGTGATGAAATAACTCATGATAGAGGATACAACAAGGATGAATCAAAATTATGCTGGGTGAAAGAAGCCAAACCAAAAAAAAGGTACATCCTGTTGTGATTCAAATTACATAAAATTCTAGAAAGTGCAAAGTAATCCGTAGGGACAGCAGATCGGTGACGATGAGGGAAGGGGGGTTGGATTCCTAAGGGGCACAGGACACTTGTGGGTGATGGGATATGTTCACTGTGTTGGCTGAGGGGAGCGTTTCACAGGTGGTAGACATGTCAAAAATCATCAAGTAGTACACTGTGGGTGTCGCTGACCTGTAAACTATACTTTGTTAAAATCGCGTGCGTGTCTCCACGGCAACCAAAAATCCTCTTACGTGTTTGTCCTTGCTCAGAACATCCAGCACAGGAGTTCAAGTGTAGGAACAAGCCAGGAATCTGATCTGCAGGACAGCAGCACCACGTCCTCTTCAAGCAAGCTAGGACCCATGCTTGACCTCAGCAAAATGAAATCAGAGGTTTGTTGTTGTTGTCTTAGTTTTCTTTTAAGTGTTTATTTTTGACAGAGAGAGAGAGCGAAAAGGGGAGGAGCAGAGAGACAGGGAGACACAGAATCTGAAGCAGGCTCCAAACTCTGAGCTGTCAGCACAGAGCCCAATGTGGGGCTGGAACCCACGAACTGTGGGATCATGACCTGAGCCAAAGTCGGACGCTTAACCGACTGAGCCACCCAGGCGCCCCCAGAGGTTCATATTTACAACCAACCTCATAACAACGGTTACCTGCTTGCAGTATCCGTAAGCTTCGTGTGCCTCCTGTGTGACGAGCACTCTCTGTACACTGGTGATCTGCCGGGAAGCGAGAGCCTGAACTCTCGTAGACTTGCCATTCCAGCGAGTGGAGGGAGACAAGTGAGTGGTAGTTATGGCCAAGGCTCCTGGGGTATTTACCAGGTGTGCTCACTTCCCAGTCTGAGCTCAATTAATACTCCCAACCCCCGTCGGGTACTCTTACTATCTCTGGGAGGGAGCCCCGGTGCTGGAAGGTTAGGTAACCTGCCCGCAGCCACGGAACCAGTAGGGAGTGCAGCCGGGAGTCTTTATGCAGGCAGTCCGCCTCCAGAATGCGCACCCAGGACCACAGTGCTACACTTCCTCACATGAGGCGTGAGCGATGTGGTGGAGATTGAGTGACACGGAGAGGTGGTGACGGGTCTTCTGATGAAGCGACATTTGAGCATCCAACGAGGAAGTGAGGAAGCAAAGCGTGTGATCATCGGGAGGAAGACTGGTCTGGGCGAGGCCCCAAGGTGGAAGCATATTTGGGTTTTTGAAAGGAAAGCGTAGCAGTCAGTGCAGCTGCACGGGAGGGGTCCGGGCACGTGAGCTCAGCGAGGCAGCAGGCTGGACCAGGAGGGCACTGGCCGTGGTGAGGACCCAGCTTTCATTCTGAGCGGGACGGGAGGGCCCCAGGGCACAGGATCAGTAGGCCCGCCGGGGCTTCACTGTTGACGAACCAGTAAGGAAGCTCTTGGAATTATGTGCAGGCCTGTGGAAGGCTGTGAAGTCTGAGAGGGAGAGATGACGAAAGAATGATTCAAAGCTTTTTGGCCCAAAGGACTGGAAGATGTGGTTGCCATTTGCCGTGAAGGACAAGGCTGGGGCGGGGGACAGGAATTTGGGGGCAAAATTAGGGCGCTGGTTTTGGACATGTTGGCTTAAGGTGCCGGAGCAGACGTCCAAGTGGTACAGATGGAGACACAAGTCCAGAGTTCAAGGGCCAGATCTATGTGGAGGCAGACATGTGGGTGTGAACAGCATATATATATAT